TGGTATACAAGACTTTTTTTTTTTTGTCCCCTGGGATCTCCTCCACTGTGCATTTTTGCCTATTCTTGCTCTGCAGATGAATGGAGATCTCTGTCTAGGAACCAAGGTTGCAAAATAGTTTATATGTGGGTAATTGTTTATTGTATCAGTTGGCTCAATTAAATCTTTGCTTTTCACCTTTGTAGAGAGACCCTACGGGAAGTACTGCATCTTCTGAAAAGCACTGGTAATTCTCAAGTAGAATACATTGTCCGCATCATGAAAAAATGGGCCAAGGAGAACAGAGCCCCTGTTTAAGTCAGCGCCACAAAATGAACCCGGTCAGTTACAGTTGTGTGTGTGGCTGTAGGGTGTGGGTCTTGGTTTCTCCTGTGCATTTGGGCTACCTCCCTCCTTGCAGGACTTTAGACGATAAAGTAGGTTGACCCAGCTGAGCAACAGCTTAGTGCAGTGAGATTGCAAAACATTCAGCAAGTATTTTTTTTCATTAAAGCTTTATTGGTACTTTTTCTGTTGCACTGCTCTCTATTCCTCAAAGTTTGTAATTTTTTAGTAGTAATTCCAACTGTCTACAAATCGAATTGCTCATCAGATGTTCCCCAGATTTCTCAGCACAAATTACTGGAGTGCTTGGGGCGGGGGGACGGGGAGTTCAGCAAGCCGCCTGGCCTCCAGAGAAGAATCATTTGTTAAATGACTGAGACAAATCTACTTCTGCAAGTGATGCAATGTGGCAAGTAGAGAGGATGACGGTGACAACCAAAAGCCATTACTAGGGCATCAGATAATACATAAAGACTTCTATATATTACCTGTCTGGAGTAAAATACAAACCATATTCTGAGCACTGTCCTTTTCTGGATAACTCTCAATAACTAATGCCTTAATTTCTTGGTTTTATCTATAAGGAGCGTTTTCTCTCTTCCCATTATTTCTGAAGATGAAGGTTAATCAACCCAAAATACCAAGCTCTGAAGTGGCTTATTTGCTTTCTAGGTTGGTAGCGAAGCCTGATGTTACCATCTTTTTCAGAGCATGGACATTTGACTGACTGTATTGTTCAATCTTGCTTGGAGGTCTGACACTCAAAACATTTATTCATGTTAATATAATTAATATGAGTAACCCATTTAGTTTAGCAACCTGAAGGATAAAAGAACTGGATGTTTTGGGTCATTTTCTTTAGCATTTACCACCCTCATTAGCAATACATTCATTATATTTTTGGATTTGTTATACTCTCCTGTTTTTTAAGGAGAACAGATCAGAGAATACATAATTCTAAAAGAAGGCAACAGTTATAACATAGCAATGTATAATACATTTTGTAGTGAAATTTTGTGTATTATTTGTAAAAGGAAAATTTACATTTAGTACATGTGTAAAATACAAAGTATTTTTTTATCTTTTGGTGAGAAACTCAGAATACTGTGTTCTCTACTGTCTGTGCTTTGATTAAAGCTCTTAATTGAATCTACAGTTGAATGTCTTGTTGGTCTGTGTTGCTTCATACTGCAGAAGTTGAAATAGTATCTTCATTTTGCTGTGGAAGAGGGCAGATTTGTGACTGGTCGTTAAATGTCCGTTCAGTAATCAGTTGAAGGCAAGCCAATGGCCTTGGTCCTGATTTTATGGTAGTTTGCTGAAAATAGGGAGCCTGGGTGTATAAGGAACATATACACCTTTCTGCCATATAACGTCATTTTTCTTACTGCTTTAGGCAAAAACTGTGGGTATCATCATTCAGCTATCTAGAAGCACATTGATAGTTGTGGCTATTTGTATTTACATCTAGAAAACTGATCCATCATACTAGCAACAATAATACGACCTTTCAGCTGGGACAGGGGACATGTTACACTCATTCAAAACGGGTGTGAAAGGACCAGTATTTTCACTGAAAGCAGTTACAAAACACATTTCACTGGTAAAAGGTCTTTTTCTTTTCCCTTCCAGTTTAATTAACTTGGAAACAGATCGGGAATACAATTATGAGTCTTGGTACAAAGCTTCAAAAAATCATGTTGGTGGCTTTGCAGCAGATGTTACATGCATCTAATTACTCCCTTTATTGAAGCTTAACCTGCAGGAGAGCTGAAGAGCATCCAAATCCATTGCAGACCATTTCACATGTTGGTTGAGTCTTCTGAAAGAAGTGTGGTGGCATTGCAGCATAAGGGCTTGGGGACTAATTTTAAATTCTCTGTCTGTGACCAGTGAAGAAGTTTTTGAAAACCTCACCTTTATTCACTATAGCCACAAAGTCATATCTGATATGCTAAATAAAGTGGGTTTTAGAACAGTGCATTTTATTGACTGGTAATAATGCTTTTGTCATTCAGGACATAAAGAACGGGGGACTGCAGGGCTTTGCCTTGAGCAGTGATGAAATAAAAGATACATTACGTATTGTCCTAGCATTTAGGGTCTTGGTAATGGAATAGATTTGCAGGTACTATTAAAAGGCAGAACAAGAAAAGTGCTGAAATACTGGTGTTTATTTTACCTTAGAAATATGTTCTAAGAACATATTCCATTGTTTAATCTGAGATCGTATTCAAAGAACAGAGGTGTGAATAGGAGTTGCCTTAGCTGACACAAAACAGGAAGTTAATAAAGAATTTCTAAAGCTGTTTCTCAGGTAGAGTTAACAAAATTTTATCCCTGCCCATTTCCATGTTTCCCTGAACTGTAGAAATGCAAGGAGTCAAGGTACTCTAAACAGGACAGCTAGGGGTGAAGGTAGATGTGGAGAAAAACAACAACAAAAGTGACCTATGCAGAACAAGCAGGCAGTGAAGAATGCATGTGCAGAGTCAGGGAAACGGGTATGTTTATTGGGTCAGGAGTAAGTGCATATAAAATTGAAACAGTGGCATTTCAGAACATGTAGCAGAAGAGAGACTAAGGCAGAAAGAAATTGCTGCATCATTAGAATTTCAGGGAAGAGTATGGAAAATAAGTTATTTCTTACACCCTGAATAAGCATCTGATTCTGGAAAATAGGATATAGAGGACACAGAAGGTACTGTGCTAGCAATCATATCATTAATGGTGACCGGTAGAGAAAGCCAAACCCAAAACAGTGCTTAACTGCTTTTGGATTGGTGCTGACCCATTCCTGATAGATGAGGAGGATGGCCTTTAATTAAACTTGGTAATACCCGAACAACATTTTTGCCAGTAACATCTAAGTGAATTACATTGCAGGGGAGGACATTTATCCTGTCTGTTGCTGCAAGTGAGTTCCAGGATAACATCCGCTTTGGCCAGCATCTGAACTGATGCAACACAGCAGCAACCCTCTTGGATCAATTCTGGAATCCAGCATATAACTTCTAAGCACTGTAACAGCTGGTGCCAAGCAATGTACTAAACTGGAGGTGGCAAGTCCACTGTGAAGGAAAAGTCATGTCATGTTCCAACTCTGTGGACTGTGGCAGGTATTCAGGTTGATGTGGTCCCCTCAGCTTGAAGATCGCTCATTGATCTTCATGAGAAAGCTGTCTAAGGTTGAATAAGGAGCTTGACCATTAGCTAGTAAGACACAAAATAAACAATGACATGTATAGCTGTTGCTACATGTAGCTTCACTAGATGGGTGAAGCTATCCATACATTGAGGAACACATCTGGGTTTTTTTTCCCATTGATGTACTCTTTAACCAAATTTTCCCGGTATTATTTCCACTCACTCTTTTTTGAGTTTCATTTCCAGACATCCCTCTCCCCATTTCATCTATTCATATGATCACTGCTTAAGCAGCTAATTGCATGAAAATGTCACCAGTAACCATTAAAATGAAGTCATTAATCAACTACTAGATAATCTGACCTGACCCTACATATAGCAAGATGGTAGATTTCATCTGCTAATCTTTGTGTTGAACCCAATAACTTGGATTTCTGTAAAAATATTTGCCAGAAAAACTTAAGAGTCTTAATGTGAAGGTGGATAATGAAAAATCCATAGGTTTACTTTGCAATTTATACAAATGGTTAAATTGCCTTTGCTCATCTAGGAATTGTACCTTAATTCTAAATTCAGCTTGTTTGGCCTTGCTTTCTAACATTTTATTCTTCCAATTTTCATCTTTGCTGCTAGTCGTTAAAGCCTAGCATTCTTTGTCTTGGTTTGGTTTTTTGGTGGGTTTCTTTTTTCACCTGCAGGTATGCATAAACTACAAGCAAGTGACCTCTATCCTTGTGAGGATATTTTCCAGTCTGGAAAACTGGCAATCGGTTTGTCAACAGATTTTTTTTTTTAAACGTGGCCATGAAGCACTGGGCATAACTTATCACCGTACGTGACACTGAAATCTTCCTCCATACTGCTGCTTACTATTCTCCTACCTGCGTACTCAAAAACTGCATTCACTCTTTTTGCCATATTATCACTGGGGGAGCTTGCATTAAATTGCTTCTCGACTGTGACGTGACATCTAGAGTTTTTCCAGGACTGGTATTTTCCAGGATACAGGCTACCCTTCCGAAGAGACAGCCTACCTTTAGCTCTGCAAAAAATATATTTTCTTCGAATGGGCTCAGTGTTCCAGCTTATGCAGATCTCTCCGTGTGACTATCTTATCCTCGCTAATTACTAGGCTGTTTCTCTACAGCCTTTTATTAGTGCTGTTTTACATCTAAATCTGGATCATCAAGGGATATGTTAGATCCTCCATTTTCCAGGACCCTACTAAAGTAAACCCCCACAAACATTCTATTAATGATGACTGATGGCTACTTTTCATCATTTGTCATTCTCAGCTTAACATGTACCTTACAGATAGAATATTACCATGTTCTTTTAAATTAGGTATATGACACTAGAAATTTATGTATTGCATTTGTATAACTGCAATATTGTTGCATTCAGATAAATTTGTAAAAGAGCCAAGTCACGGGACCTAATACTTCCCATTCATTCTTTATTAGATGAACCTTACAGCATCCCAGAAAGATTGATGGAGTCCAGTTGTTCAAGGCTGCTAGCAGAATTTGAAACAACTTTTTTTTGCCCTGTAATCACATTTAGAACCCACACCCCAAAATCTTACTTTTGACTTTGTAGGCTTTAAACTTAATTTGGAACAAATATAGCAGACATATCACATCTCTGTGCAAGGGACAGTTCCTAAATTCCTTATAGGTCTTGCTTACAATTACGCTAGCATCTATTTATAGATTTAAAAATAAAAATCTATATTTAGTAAGAGCTGTGACTTTTGAGAAGACACAGTGTATTCTTCAAATAAAAAGAGAACTTCTGTTTCAGTTCATACTTATACTTGTGCTTAATTGCTTCACATTATATTGTTCTTATTTCTTTAAGAGAATTTAAAATAATGAATTCAATAAAATAAGTAATGGTCTTTAAAATGTTTTTACAAGTAGATCTTCAAGAATCAGGGACTGAAGTTATTTTGATAGGAAATATGCTATGGAATAGTCTGTAGCAGTTCTCA